TTCGTGTTTGTATAAAATAAAATGGCGTAAATAAATTATTGTTATAAAATTTGATTTGTTACCGATCAAAAAATGAAATTTTTTGATTTTTTTTTTTTGTAACTTGTGCAATTTTCGCACCGGTGCGATATCTCGAAATTATCTAGAGATATTGTTATGATTTTATCTCTCTCTCTTTCTCTCTCTCCCTCTCTCTCTCTCTCTCTCTCTCTCTTCTCTGCTTACGTAACGTATTTTAAAATTCATTCAACATTTTCTCTCTTTCTCTCTCTATTTTTTTTTTTTCATTTGCTACGTTAACATCATCATCGCAACTTTTACCATTTTTTTTTTTGTATCCCTGAAACCAAATTATTATTATCATTATTATCGACTTTAACAAACCCTAAAATATTTCCGGGACTCACACACGCACACTTTAAACTCGAACGAACATTTTTTTTATTAACTTCCGCTGAATCGTGAATTTCCGCTTAATCGCCATCCGGATTTTATTGATTTTTTTTTTTTTTTAATAAAAAAAAAAAACGAAATCGATATTTAAAAACAAAATTATAAACAATAATAATAATAATAATAATAATAATAATAATAATAATAATAACGATATGTTTTGATTGTCCAGGTGTTGTGCGTGCGTGCATGCGTGTGCGTGTTCAATAAGTTAATTATTAATTAATATTTTGGAATTATTAAAGTTTTTTTTTTTTTTGATTTTTTTTTCCAATTCGTTCTTCATTATTATTATTATCATTATTATTATTATTATTATTTTATCGTGAACCTGTTTCGTGATCGATAATTAATTAAAAAAACAACGCAGAAAAAGCTTCTTCATTTTGTTTTTCGGTATTTTTTTTCGTTTTTTTTACCGATTCGTACCTGAAACTAAGTTTGGAGAATTGCAAGGTCGTAAGAGGAGGATGAGGAGAAGGTGAAAAGCGCGGGGGGCGGAGCGGCGGCGGGGGAAGGGAAGGGAGTAATAAAATTCGTAAAATCGCATATGAAATCGTCGAATAATTTTTTTTTTTTGAAAAGAACGACGTCGGTGTTTACGACGCGGTAAGGACGTCGCAGTACCTGATTTTTTAACGTTTTGCCAATTTTTTTTTTTTTTTATTTAAAAAAAAAAAAAAAGGAAAACGTTTCGAAATGAAAATTGTTGTGGTTCGAAATGTAAAACGTGAGACTCGAGTTCAGTCAAGTGAAAAACGTGCTCAATTATTTGTATTTAGTCGGTATGAAATTTAATAAAGAGATTCTCAACAACAACACACCGATTTTTTTTTCATCTCCTTATTATTATTATTATTATTATTATTATTAACTTTTTTTCTCTCTCTCTCTCTCTCTCTCTCTCTCTCTCATACCCGTGCGAGTTTTAAGTTGAGAAAATAGAAAAGAAAAAATAAAAAATTAATTTTTTTATTTTTTACATGTGAGAGAAATGAAACGATGTTGATGCAGGTTTTAATTGCACGCCGCTACTGTTGGATATGTACATATATACCAAACCTGAAGTACGAGTTTTTTTTTTTTATCTTATCAAAAAGTAAAAAAAAAAAAAATTCCAGGTTGTTTTCCAGGTACTGCAGTTAATACTTTTAAGTATGAAAAAACAAACGATTAATAATAAACTAAAAAAAATTTTTTTGTTATAAAGTTGCGCAACACAAAATTCAGTGAAACTCTCTTTATAATAAAATTTAAAAAAAAAAAAAAAAAAATGGCCTTAGGCTGGAAGACAAAAAAAAAAATGGATGATGGAAAATAATTTTGATGACAATTGAAAATTTTAAAATTTTGCCTTTAAGGTACATCAACCTCAATTGACAGGTTTTTAATGTTAAATTTTAAAAAAAAAAAAAAATTTTTTTTTTTTTCAAGGTTGGTGACGTATTTTTTTATTTTTTTTTTATATGCAACTGCGTTAACAATAAATTTTTTAGTAATAAGATATAAAATAAAAAAAAATTCAAATCACGTGTTTTGACCTTTTAAGGTACGAGTCCTATAATAATAATAATAATAATAATAATAATAATAATAATAATAATAATAATAATAATAATAACGATCTATCGATTTTTTTTTATAAAAAAAAAAAAAAAATTTATTTGCCGAATCAGCTTTCGACTATGGGTAATGATCAAAAAATTATGATGGACAGTTGAATTATGGCATTTGTTTCTTTCCGCTTCCCCCTCCCCCTCATTTCCCCCTTTTTTTCCCTCTCTCTCATTTTTCCAGAAACATTTTATCACGGTTTAGTACGATGATGATGATTTTCAGCAGCAGTCAGTCACGTTCATCAATCGATCGATGATTAAAAAAAAAAAAAAAATTCATACGTATCGTACGAATGCCGAACTTTAGGAGAAGGCATTTTATAAAATCACGTGTCATTAGAAAAATAAAAAGGAAAAAATTCATCTGTTTTTAACGTTTCAACGACAACAACAACACCAACAACAAAAACAACAACATTTAACCGGATTTATAAAAATAAAAAGCAAAAAGCAGAAGATAATTAATTGTCACATAATCTGTAAAGGAAAAAAAAAAAAGGATTTTAATGAGGCAAATGTTTGAAATAATAATAATGATGGTGATAATAATGATAAGAGTTTGGAAAAAATAAAAAGTTATGATGACGGTGGTTGTGACGATGGTGACGGTGGTGTTGGTGGTCATTCTTTGGACATAATTTGAAGGTTTTTTTTTTTTTTGAATGAATTAATTAAAAGATTAAAGGATTACATGTTTACCTTAGGTTAATCTCTAATTATTTAAAATTATTTTTACATGACAACAACCGTCAAAAAATTAATTAGAGTTTTTCTTTTTTTGGAAAAATTTTTTTTTCATTGATTCTCCCCCCCTTCACCTCTATTTTTATTTTTCCAACATGAAAGATTTCATTTTTTTTTTTTTTGGGGTTTTTTGCGGCGAATTTAAAAAAAAAAAAATTGACACGCACGAGTGACCAAAGTTTTTCATTCGATTACAACAAACCAATAAATGACACACCTTACAAAAAAAAACATTTCTCTTGATGATATCTCTATATATATATATATATATATATATTCTTCTCTCGCGTATTATTTATAAAAAATAAATAAATATATCGATATATCGATCGAAAGATTTTCGATTGTCAAACGCTATTTATTTTAATTTGACGATAAAATATTTTACAGACTCCAAAAACGAATTTTTTTTCTTTTTTTTTGGGGCTTGTTTTTACAAGAAAAAAAAAATTCAGGTTTGTGTGTGTTGAGATCATTGACAGCGCGCTAAAAAAAAAAGGTAAATAAATAAAAAGTGTCACAAGAAAAAAAATTTAAAAGTTTGCTCGATAATAATAATAATAATAATAATATTTTTTTTTCCAACGTTTTTAATATTTAATTGAAATATCAAAGCGTATCGCGATAGTAGAAAAATAGAAAAATTAATTAAAACTTTGATTTTTTTTTTATTTCGTGGGAGAAGAAAATATTTGTGTAACTGAATTGTCATCGTGCCACGACATGAAATCAATTTTATCATTACAATAATAATAATAAATGTTTAAATAATTAATTAAATACGAATTAAATGGGATGCAATTTAAAAAAAATTTCAAAGTTTTTTATTATTACTTTTGTTTGTTTGTTTGTTGCTATTTTTCGCATAAGTTATTCCACATACACTCCTTTTTTTTTACATTTGTCTACCTACACGTTTTTTTTTTTTAGTCTCTTTTTAAAAATATTTATTATAAATTTTAAACCGTATTAATAATATTTTAATATTCAGTTTTTTTTTTTTTAAGAATATTTTTGTTTCATTTTATTTTAATAACATTAATTACAATATTAAAAAAAAACACTTAAAGAAGAGAGAGAGAGATAAAAAAGAGGAAGAGGGTAAGGGAGAGGGAGAGAAAAGAAGAGAGGAGAAAATGAGAGAGATAAAGAGATGGTAAATGAAAAAAAAATAAAATAATTTAAATAATTTTTTTTTTTTTTTAATTCAGGTATTTATATGGTACGTAATTAATTAAAAAAAAAAAAAAAAAAAAAAAAAAAAAACTCTTTTCTACAGCTTTTTTTTAAATATATAAATATAAAAAAAAACTAGTTTTCAGTCATTAAAAAAAAACCTTAAAATATTTATAATGATATTGTTTTTCAAATTAAAATATTCCAAAGTTGGTGGAAAGTCGTTAAAAGTAAATCGAAGCAATTATTTGACCACGGAG